TGCTGACAGAAGAAAGTAGATTAAAATTGAGCAATTTATTTGATAATGCGACATCTTCTGTTTATACTGTTAAATCTTTGCAATAATGCTCATTGTCAATCGGATTACAACCCAATTATTAAAACTTGGCCAAAAATAAGTCGATATTCTTTGTAGGGGATTGTCCGTCACTATGTCTTTCTGTTGAAATTACGATACAGCCCACATTATTTGACGTAGTCACAAAATTTTGTATTGTGTCTACGATGGTTGGTATATAACGGTACCTCCCGATATTCGGTATTTTAATGATTTTTGCCACATTTTTTCACGGATTTGTCTAAAAAATGGTATTTGTTTATTGTAAAAGGTTTTAGTGGAAGAATATTCTATATATAGCTGTATGTTTTCGTATTGCCCATGTAACGGTACCTCCCGGAATTCGATATTTTGATGGTTTTAGTCAAATTTTTTCACGGATTTGCCGAGTCAAACTTAATGTTTTTTACTTGTTTTTTATTTCTCTTTCGTTATGAGCTTAATGATCAGAGATTTGCAGTGAAAACCGCAATAGGGGCTCTATCACACGCTCACCACTATGCGACGTGTATCGTCGTTGGTTAAGCGGCTCATCAGACATATTTGGTGTGGATGTGGCCTTTTTTTTTCAAGGTAACATTTTTTCTGAAGTTATGCCGAATTAAACACCAGAAACCATCCAATTCGACTCAAGTTTTACTAGCAAGTCCTTTTCACAGCAAAGTTTCTTTTTGTAGCGATAGGCTTTTTTCCCATAACAACTACATTGCTTCCAATGCATACTCTTGTTATTGAGCTGCTGCCACACAGGTTGAGTGCTTTGCACGTGGATATGGCAACTTTTAGTTGGTTGGACACCGATGTCCAAAATATGTATCCCAGACATAGCATGTTATATATGGATCATCCTATCTCGACGAGCTAAATCGATCTAGCTATGTGTGTCCGTCCGCCTGTCCATTTTATTTGTAATCAAGCTTCAGGTCGAATTTATGGCTCGATTCTCACGAAATTATGCATGGATGTTGGTTAAGGTCAGAATAGTAGCCTATTTTTGGGACAGATGACCGCAAAATATTTAGGGGTTAAAATGAAATGAATTCGCCAAGAATTCTGTTATAATCTTAAAAATACCGAATATAGCCTTTATGTTGGGTTCTATACGAAGACGTGGACCTGCATAGGCAACTTTTGTCATAAGTCATTACAATATTCAAATACGAAACTTGAAAAAATCCGGTGAATAATGTAGCTAAAATTATTAAAATACCGAATATAGAGAGGTACTGAAATATGGGGACTGTACGAAGGTCTGGGACTGTATGGGGACTGTAGACAATTTTTTGTCATAGGCTATAGTACCCATTACGAATTCTAGGTACGAAATTTAAAACAACCGGTGAAAGTAAATAACGTTCCTAAAATCATGAAAATGTCGAATATCGGGGGTACCTCTGTATGTGGACTATACGATATCGTGGATCTATATAGATATTTCTCTTCCATGGAGGAGTGCTTGGAAAGAACTTCTAGTATGGATTTTTAGGCCATTTCATTGAAAAATCTTGTGGGTAGGGTTAAGATCAAAATTAAAGTTTTGTAAGATGTTCGCAACATATTTAGGGTTTAAAATTGACCAATAAAACAAAAATTGCCTAGGTTTTGCAGTCGCCCTACAGTTATCAACTAAGGAACAATATATTTTTTTTTTAAAATGAGGATATAGTTTAGGACAGCACTGAGGCCTAGCTTTTTGGTTGGTGATTGGATAATATTTATCTGATGAAGTGGACCACAATATTGTGTGAAAAAATACCAAATACCAGACCCCTACTTTGATGCTGATTTCGTTGACAAATATAGCCAGAAATCATACAGAAGAAACTAAATGTTCTAACAAAGTTGTGAATACATGAATATTGATGTAGTACGAACATCTGCTTAGTCAAATACCGATGCTTTTTTAGAAATTTTATGTTTTTGGAAAATAATGGATTCCAGATCTCTATGATAATTATTCGAAAAGAGAAGCAAATAGGTTTAACATTTGCTTGTATTACGTATTAGATATATGGAAGTTTTTTTAAGGGAATCTTCATTCTAGACAAAAGGATATCAGATCTGCAGAAACTTTATAGAGTTGTAGGGTATTAAAAGGTCGAGCCGCCCGCGTATAGCCATTGCTTACTTGTTTTTGAATTATGCTTTGTTGTTAGGTAATATAACATTACTCTCCATTCATTTGAACAATACTGGCTGAAAACTTTGAAATGCCGAATATCAGGAGATATCGCCGAACGAAAAAAAATGTATTTATATTCAACATTTTTGGCTGAGGCGGTTTTTATGCTCCAAAAATTTGATATACTAAATTATAACTAATTAGGTTGAAAATGTTTCCTAACAATTCAGAATAGCTTAAATCGGGAGGTACTAGTACATTGGGAGCGATACCAAATAGAGAAGAGGACTTTCATAACGACAACGGGAAGTTTTAAACTCGATTCGATAGTAAAATATTTCGTATGCTAATTTTTTCTACCAACTAGCTTGAATTGGCCAAGAAAAAAGTCAACAAGAAGCAAGGCCAATGTCAAATATTGCTCAACCTTAATAAATAGGCGTTCATCTGACAGGCTCCATACGTGAGAGTTGGGCATTCACAGCGTACACAGAACATATTAGCAAAACTTGGCGCTTTTCTACTGCAGCGAAACTTTAGCAAATCGGTCTTGACGAATGGAACAACTCTAGTTTAGTTAAAACTCTTAGGTTTATTGATTTTTTCCAGAAGTAGTTATTTGATAACCTGATTCCGGAAAAGTATTTTTTTCTTGTGGGGCGCACGCGGATATCCGGATATTTGACCAAAAAAAGGGGTAGATCCATATCTATTAAGCCGATATGGACAATACAGGCATTATTTGAAAATAACCCCATCATGTGACCACTTGTAAGATAGTTCAATTTTGGCCTACCCTCCTTGTGTCGGACAACCAATTGCTACCCAGACAATCAAGTTTTTATTTGAGTTCATTTATTTTTACAGAAGTAGGAAAACAAAAAATTCTTTTTATCTGCCATTTTACCTGCAAATGGTGGAAAGATTAGTTTGCTGAATAGGCTATTAAGTTCCACTACTACTTCCCATGACAGAAGATCCACGTCTTCATATAGCCCCAATATAACAGTATCTCCCAGTATTCGCTATTTTTATGATGTTAGCTACATTTTCAACAGAATTATCGAAATAGGCGCCGCACTCGATGACAGATAATTGGCTATAGAGGTCCGCATTTTCTTTTATAATACCTAATATTCGAAATTTTTAAAATTGTAACGGCATTTGTCAACGGACTTTTTTTACATTTTGCAAGTTCTTTCCAAATGTTACTTTGGCATAAATGAAATTTTTAGGTTTATCTACATTTTCCAACGAAATTCGTTGTATGAACATTTTATATTATTATTGGGTAAAATAAAGCGGAACCATTTAATCCTTATCTTTGATGGCGAAAAATGTCTATCTACCCCTTCTATTTCATATTTTGAATAGAGTAAGTGTACCAGTAGTCGGCACTTTTAGGCTTTACAATATTTCAATCTTTCGACATTCTGAGTGAAATCTTTCAATTGCAGAAAAATAAAGTTGTTCAGATTCCATATTTTGTTTAGTTTTTGAATTAATAAACAACAATTGAATTTGTTTTTATTAAATTGGCAAAATTTGCAATTTTACTAAAATAGTAGTTTTTTGCCAGTAGTCGGCACCATTTTCCAATGCTCGGCATATCTATTTGCCAGTAGTCGGCATATGCTATTGCATTAAAAAAATATTATTTTGTATATTTTTTTATTTCAAATAGTATAAAATAATGCTATATTACTAATTCACAGATTAATCCAGAATTTGAAATTAATTTCGTTTTTAAATAGTGTTTTATTTAATTATCATTCTAAACCATATATACGTAGAAAATCAAGAATAGTATGTAATAGTAAAAAAGTACCTTTCTTATATTTGGAATTTGTGAATTGATCTTTTCCCTTTAGATAACCAACAATTTTTTTAAATGCCACCGCTATCTAAACCGTCAAATAGCTGATTTAAAAAACCCTACTTAATTTAGAAAAGTTGGTCAAAAAGCACCAATAAAAGCAACTTCCGACTCAAAACTATTTTTTTATTTGAGTAGTTTTTGGATTATTTTTTAATACTTTTCTCAAGTTTTGGTGAAATAGGTCAAAAATTATATTTTTCTAGTAATCGGCACCCCCTGCCGACTACTGGTAAATCTCTTTTTTTCTGTTCCTAATGTCGGCATTAAATAATATAAGAGAAAAATGCTTGATTATGTATGTTTTTCAAGTTATAAAATGATTTTTAGACTGTTATTTACTATTATAAAATATTTCTGATTCCAAAAGTATTAAATTTAATTTACTTAAATCGATTATTAAGTTGACGCCACCACTATTTTTTTTTTCTTTACAAACAAGCACTATCGCACGCGTTGGAAGACACTCACTGAAGAAAACCGTTATTCTCTCGTAATAAATGATCGGAGCTCATTGTTTTTTACAGAAAGAGAGCAGAGAACACTGTTGACGTTTTTTTGCAATTATTTCATTAGTTGGTCAATTCCATTTTTAGTTATTTAAGTTTAAATTTCAAAACTGCCGACTACTGGGGCATGCCGAACTTAGGCGCACTTACCCTAGTTCATACTTTCCTTATAGTAGAGAGCGTGAAGAGTTCAAACCAAATGCAATTTTACACTTGCAAATATAGTATAAATTGTGTTGCAAGTGCGGCTCCCTACCTTGATTTTATTATCATATTTTTCTATCTCACATAAATTAACGGTTTACCTTTCCTTTTGTGTTTTCAGATGCCAACAATGAGAGCAAGATAATTTTTCACATCGAACAGAGAAACGAACTCCCCGAAAAAAATCCATCATTTTATTTTCACATCATAAATTTGGCGTAAATTCACGATGACGTCGTCAGACACCAGCACAGCAACAACTGCAACAAAGCATAACAAAAATACTCCTACTAGATTAGAAAAGAAAATTACAAGAAAAATCAAATATCGCGACAAAATGAAATTCGTCTGCAACGTTTTGCTTATAAGCTTAATAGTAGTTTTAGTTTTAAATTTGAATATAACTGGAGTGAGTGCGCAGACACGTGATCCCAGATTTTACTCAAGGGTAGGTGTAAATGATTATCAATGGCCAAATCCAGGTGATCCCGATTACAGGTATTGTATTGAAAATAAGAAAACAATTGCTTGAATATAATTTTAAATGTTTCTTATTTTAGAACATATACCTTCAATGATCGCCGCTATGGACATTATCAGCCAAATGGCTATGGAGACAATTATCCGGGCAGAAATTCACCGGGCCAGTATCCACAGGGAATGCCAAATGAGGATCGGTTTCGTTTCGATCCGGTAAGTAATTCATGATGTTTATTTCTTTCTTTTTTATCTTACATTGTAACAGGGCAATTCCGTAAAATATTGATGACATTTTTACTTTCCTAAAATATTTTTAATTCACAGTTCATTAAAATCTGTATTCAAGAGAATGTAAGAAATAATATAAATAAGCTTTGGTACTTCCTATCTATCGACAAATTGCCGGGGATATCGGAATGCTTTTAACCAGATTTAAAAACATACATGTATCAATTGTTTATAATATCCTAAAGCCATAAATGTAACGAGTCTTGTTTCGGAGCTCAGAAATGCTCATTAGTGTAGAGAGTGCAACTCGCTCGAATTTGAGCAGGAAGTGAGCGAAAAAAAATCAAGTTTACTTTATTTTTCCATAATTTGCTAGTTTTTGAGTGGGAGTAAAATTCGCTCGAATCGAGCAGTTTATACTCTTACAAAGTATTCCTTATTTTGCAAGTTTTATTTGTATGTATATGCATTTTCTCAACCTACAGCACAAAAGAAACCTAAACAAATACGTTGAGGAGCATTGACGTTAATCTGTACCAACAAAAGGATGATAATGGGTTAGTTACCCATTGTTTTTTCGCACGATTACACTCTTACCCTATTTCGAGCATTTTCAAACGGGAGTACTCGTGATGTCTCCAATATAAAACAAAATAATGGAGAGTAAAATCTTTGTAAACTCGTACCCTTTGAATACCCCCGCTTCATTCAACTAATGTTTATTTTGTGTCCGACTTGAAAGATGATTAGTTTTATCATTCTGCTTAACGAAAATGGTTGTGTATACACTTGAGCAACGCTGGGAAATATTGCGACATTACATTTGAAAAACCCGAACGCATGCATTGAAAATCTAATGGAAATTTTGATCCAGAGGATTAATTGGGCCATTTTTTTTTTTTTTTTTTTTGAAAATGAGGGGATGCTTTTACGTACATACAGCCGATTTTCCAAAAAAAATTGGCGGACTTTTATAATGTTGGTACACGATGTAATTGTGCAAGATTTAATTATCCCCATTTATTTATATTACCTATAAAGCCAGCCCATCGATTTTTGGCGTAGCTGTAACATATGTGACCCTATTTTGACATTTATATTTGTTATCCAGAACTAAGTGTGGCGCCTGATGTAAAGTTCACATATTTCACATTATGTGGTGAATCAAAAGAACTAAAGAGTTGCTTCGCATGACCGAATTTGGTTTTCTCCGATGAGAAAACAATCGTTATCCAGCAGTTTGTAAACAAACAAAATGATCGTGTTTACTTGCCAAAGAGGTCAACTGAAAATGTGCACCTTTGGTTGGCCACCAAAACTCAAGCGCCGGCCATGGTGATTTCAACAGGACTCAGCACCATCGCACTCAGCACGCGCCACCCAAGAATGTTTAAAAAATGAGGTTCCTCGCTTCATTTCCAGCGCCCAATGGCCACCAAAATCTACCGATACCAATCCGTTGGACTATTGTGTCTGAAGTATTTTGGAAAGCAAGGTTGGCACTAAAAAATACCAAAGTGTCGATCACCTCAAGTAAGCGCTTCGCCGGGAATGGCCCAAAATACCGCACAGCAACATTCGCGCAGCGTTTGACGGTTTCATGGGACATTTGAAGGCCATAATTCGTGCCAAAGGTGACCAATTCGAAAAAATCTATACTTATTCTAAGACTTTATGCTATTTCCGACATTTTGTTTTCATTCAATAAAATTTAAGAAAAAATATAAAAATTTTGACGTTGGACTTTGCTGCAGTTTTTTAATCTCACCCTGTGTATGCTCTGTTCCCGAACCACAGGAATGTAAAAATGTTTCTACGATAACCGATTTGTCTTTATAATGTCGCAAAAAAATTGCGAACCCAGTAGATTTTTGCAGGTTATTGAACAGAGCAATATTAATGATCAGCATAAAATTCCATGTCGACTTAACCATGTTGGTCTTTCTATCACTCTGTTAAAATCACAATACAGCTCTCATTATTAAATGCAGAGCTTTGAAAGACGCTCTTAGATGTTTGCTATTGAAAGTGGAATACATCGGTTGAAATTTAGTCTTCATATAACGGTATCTCCTGACTTTCGGCAATAGGGAGGTAAATAAAGTCAATTGGAATTTAATACCTTGGGTTCCCTCTGGGTAGATTTATTTAGAAATGATTAAAACAAAGCATACACGAATGAATGTCAGAACAAACCAAACTCAGTTTCTAATTTCACTCTAGCCAAGCATTTTATCCGTTATCTTTTGGGGCGGCAATTGTATCGTAGAAATCGAACGATAACTTCTATTCGATATTAATACACAAAACACACATTGTGTGAATATTTGCTACAGTATAAAATAATTGGGCCAAATGCATTAAAAAAAAACACAACTATAATTCTATGTCGTAATTGAATGATGATCATCATTTAATTACATTGACAGCAAAAGATATCCAAAGTCTGAAACTTTAATTGAATTTGTTACGCGTACGACCATAAACGGTTAAATGCATTAGACGTATTTGTCCATTAGCTAATCAAACATGTCATCATAGAATACAAAGAAGTTCGTCTATCTATCAATGTTGGAGTCTGACAGATTACACATATGGCTGCATGATCTATGTAGCTATGTAGGGCTATGTAGTTGGCTCACAATATCTATGTCCAATTCAATATGTACAAGTCATCTTGCGATGGGAATACACTAATTAACAACAGATTATTTGCTGCTTTATTTTTTTAATTTTCATTATTCTGTTTCTCTTTTTCGTTATTTTCAGAACAATCCCAAAGAAATACCATTTCCGGGAATTTTGGCTGGTTGGCGTGAAGATTTACAAGGTAAACAGCGACGTGATTCTCTAACACTGGAGCGTGATGTTTTCGTCACTACCAACTATGGCCAGGTGCAAGGTTTCAAGGTGTATATGTATGATAATCCAGATCCAAAATCATTTTATCGCCCATATCACTCGACCGTGGATCGTAGCATGGGTGAATGTTCTGTTTTCCTGGGTATTCCATATGCCATGCCACCCACATTTGAGGGACGTTTTAAACCACCCCGGCTACATAGAGGCTTTCAATTGCTGCAAGCTGTGGACTTTGGTCCAGCATGTCCACAGCCGGTACGTTATACCGGTGCTACAAAGGGCGTTATGGATATGGACGAGGATTGTCTGTATTTGAATATCTATTCTCCAAGGGTAAGTAAAACAAATAAAATAAATATTTGGTGTAGGGTATAATACTCATTCATTCGTCTCATATTTTCATATTTAACCCACAGACCGGTGCTGGTGTGGCGCAAAAATATCCCGTAATGGTTCACATTCATGGCGGTGATTTTGTTCGGGGAGCATCAAACCTCTTCCAAGGCCATATATTGGCATCGTTTTATGGCGTCGTTGTTGTGACATTTAACTATCGACTTGGAGCTCTTGGTTTCCTTTCGACTGGCGATGAAAACTCCCCCGGAAACTATGGAATACTCGATCAGGCAATGGCCCTGAAATGGGTATATGATAATATTGAATTTTTCAATGGTGATCGTGATTCTATAACACTGTTTGGTCCCGGTGCTGGTGCCGCATCAGCGGGATTGCTAATGGTTGCCCCGCAGACTAGACACATTGTTAAACGTGTCATAGCTCAGTCGGGTTCAGCCTTGGCCGACTGGGCTCTCATACAAGATAAATACCGGGCACAAAATACAAGTCGTGTTTTTGGCCAACTCCTGGGTTGTTCCCTGGAATCTTCTTGGAAATTGGTGAATTGTTTGAGGACCGGTCGAAGTTTTTATGAATTAGGCAATGCCGAATTCCCACCAGATGTCGGTACCTTCCCTTGGGGTCCTGTATTGGATCATAATTTCACTTTGCCAGGTGATGATTGGTATGATGGTTGGCGTGAAAAAGATTGGCGTTTTCTCCAGGATACACCGTTGAATTTAATACGTCAGGGGAAATTCAATAAAGGTATACAGTATATGACCGGTGTCACCACACAGGAGGCAGCATATTTTGTCTCACAAAATGAATCATTGGCGCCATATTTTGAAATTGATAATAAATTTTTCGAACAAAAGATACGAGAACATGTGTTCCGCTACAATTACACATTAAATCCAAATGGTGTTTACGAAGCCATAAAATACATGTACACATATTGGCCAGATCCGAATAATAGTACCATAATAAGAGATCAATACATAAATATGCTGTCGGACTTTTATTATCGGGCGCCAGTAGATCAAATGGTCAAGGTTTTGTTGGAACAAAAGGTACCGGTCTTTATGTATGTCCTGAATACCACTGTGGAGGCATTAAAATTACCCGAATGGAGAAAATACCCACATGAAATTGAGCATTACTTTTTGACAGGAGCTCCATTCATGGATGTGGAGTTCTTTCCCAAGAGTGCCCACCTCGAAAGGAATATGTGGACAGACAATGATCGTAATATGAGTCATTTCTTTTTGCAAACATTTTCGAATTTCGCCAGATATGGGTAAGAGTTTTAAGTTCCGTTTTTTTCATAATTTTTAACTTATTAATATTTTGTAATTTTTTAGCAACCCAACCCCGCAACAAGTTTTGGGTTTACATTATGAACGTGCCTATCAGGGGGAGATTCGTTATTTGAATATCAACACAACTTATAATTCTTCGATTTTACTCAATTATCGTCAAACCGAAAGTGCCTTTTGGATTCAATACCTGCCCACAGTAATTGGGGTTTTTGTACCCACATATCCTCCAACCACGGAATTCTGGTGGGAACCAAAGGAACCTCTACAAATAGCATTCTGGAGTATGTCGGTTGCATGTTTCTTCTTGATTGTTTTAGTTTTTATATGTTGCATCATGTGGAGAAATGCCAAAAGGTAAGCGGAAGCTGTATTTTATTCAATATACATCGTCACAAAGTATAGTTATTGATTTCTTGGAGAAAGAGGTAACATGTTTGTGAGTTACCACTGTTTCACATTTATTAGAATAATTGTTTGCTGTTCGGTATATGTAGTTCCTAGTGGCTAATTAAACCCTGGATGATATTGTCAATATGGATCCATGATGTTGAATAGTCCTCCACATAGAAGTACCTTTTGGTTTTCAATGTTGTCGTGCAACATTTATTAACTAATTGTTATTCAGTATCTGAAGTTTCGATCGAGAACCTAGCCTTCTGTTAAGGGACACTTCATCGGATAGTTTAAAAAAGACCTTTTTAGGACTTACCTGCGAAACCTGATTTTCCAAACTTAAAACCCATATAAATCGGACACTTTCTATTGAACTTTTATATTTATTTAATTAACTAGAGCTACATATTCTGGTTCAGGTCCTTACTCAAGCACATTACAAAAATTGAAAGGCCCCAAAGTGTCGCCAACCCAAAAAATGTATTCTGACCCTGAAACTTTTGTCTTCTTCACAATTAATTACTTCAATTTGATTGGCGTAGCCTTACTCTAGGTTAGCTATCTTTTGACTGACTGGGGCCATACCCTAGATCCGTTGGATCCCATCAAGCGTTTCAACATCGCTACAACAGTGAAATTTAAAAATCTGTCGATACAATATGTCTTAGGCCAACCGGACCGATAGAGATAGAGAGTATAACGTATGATATGTTGTTGATCTAGCGCCTTTCTTTTGGACAAGCAAATATTTTGTATTTTTAGTGGTAACACATCGATCATCAGGAGGAAATGTTCACAACAAAGCTTATATTTAAGCATATTACTTACCTGAGGCACTTTATAGAGGATATATGATCCTTGGAGAACAAATGCCATCCATTGCGGATAAGAATGATAATTTCTTCGGTAATCGTTTGTTTGCACAACTGTGATAAAAATGATGCGGTCTTCTCCATTCGCATTGCGACCGAATTTACCACTCAATTATTAAGTCTTGGACAAGATTTATTTATTAATAACATTTTTTTTTAATTGTTCCCTGAGAAAATGTTGATTTTTGTCAAATTTTCCAAAGCAATTTTTGATTCATTGAGTCTTTTCCTTTTATTTTTGATTCAATTTGTTTTTAAATAAGTCGAAAACTAGTACTTCTATGAGAGAGTGGAACTGTATAAATTTGTATATGTAAATCAAATTTATAATATATTTAATTTCAATCACATTTTTCAGAGAATCCGATCGTTATTATGACGAAGATGTCTTTATCAATCACGATGGCACTGAATACGATCGAGAATCTCGGACGACGGGTGTAGATAATACCAACTTGGCAGCTAATCATCAAGTGATGCGTTCCCGTGATAATCTCTACGAATATCGAGATTCTCCCTCATCGAAAACATTGGCCAGTAAAGCGCTGACCGATACAACATCAATAAGATCTCCCAGCTCCTTGGCAACAACACAAAAAACCGGTGGCAGTCAATCGTCACTGAAATCCGCCATCTCTCTTAAAGAGAGCAATGGTGGTGGGACACTTTCACCTTACTCCCGTCCGGCACGTAGTGAAGCCGGTGTTGCTCCAGCAGCACGGGTCATAACAAATGGTGTTGCGGTGGCCTCTTTAAATCAGCCTAAATCTGTGGAAGAAAAACGTTTGCTGCAACGTGAACCCATTCCACTGTCATCCACACCAGTTCCCACCGAACAAACCTATAAGCCAGCATCAAAACCCTTGCCCAGTAGTCGAAGTACAACACCAGTACCAAGTGCCCGTTCGACTACAACAACTACAGCCACATTGTCTTCCGGCATAAATGTACAACCATTGGTGGGGATTAAAAAATCACAATCCCGTACACAAGTTATAGAAGGTGTACCACAGACCTCGGTATAAGAAACCGCTCTCTAAATATTACAATATTGGATGAAATATCAATGGATAGTTCTTCCGCTACTGTTACATTTAGAGAGAGTGAAAGGGGGATAAATGTATAATATACGAATAAATAGTTTGAATAAAACTTTATTTTGTATACTTTTCACAAAATATAGTTTTAACCAAACTATATAATTATAAGCATCATTTGCAGAAACAAGTGAAATTGAACCTAAGAATTTGACATGGAACCAAATGTTTTTTTGCGGAAATTTAACAATAGGTGTATGTACGGTAGCCCAATAAAGAGAGCGAATGAAGAGAGCAATTTTGACAGTTGAAATTTTCTCATGGTTTTATAATAGAAAATATTCGAATCAGAAGTCTACATCTTCGCTTCGGGGGGATGAGTGAAAATATTAAAGTCACTCAAACCTCAACATTTTAAAAAGTGTCTCTCCCCAATCGCTCTCCTCTGCAGAAGTTTTGTGTTAACAGATGACTTCCAATATAGACGAAGGAAAGCTTATCTTCGAAATCGGATTATCAAATGTAGTCCACGTCGTTTCAGAGGTATGATTGAAAATATTGAAGTCACTCAATTATTTTTAAATGTTAAAAATATTAATAAGTCATGATGACATCGGAACATACGAGAAAAGTTAAATTATTGAAAAACGATGAAATGTGATTTCGAAATCGAGTTAGTCGACTACGTAAATCAGCATGTTGACTATGTGAGAGCGTATTGAGAGCCGCCTGCATAAAAAACACAACGAACTTTTCGTTTTCTATATTTTAATTTGTCTATGCTTCCAGTTGTTCCAAATGTTGAGATACCCAGACCCCCACTGTATTATACTGTCAAATTACAAATTTGGCACCATAACAGCGTTACCTAAAAATCGACGTAGCGTATACAAATATTCAACTCTCCCAGTACAGCAAAATTTTTGTACGCCTTTATTGGCCTAATACGCCAGGTCCATGTCTTATAATCTTTTAAATAAAAACGTTGTAAAGCTTGGCACTTTTTTAAATCCACCCAATTGTTACTTTTTCACATTTTTTGTATCATTAATTTCTATTTCCAACACACAAAAAAGGAATTTTTTCAATTGTCAATGTTGAAAGTGTTCAATTTTGAAATTTTATACATCCGACATATTTGGGTAACTTTCATATAAATACATATGTTTTACTTGTGTGGTGAAAAACTTCGACCAATTACGTCGAATTTTAGGCAACGCTGTAAAGATTTAAAATTATTGAATGTCTTTCTAAGCTTCTTCCAATATTTGATCTATTCTTGTATCCCGAAATCTCGATTCAGGATGTATTTACTTGAACTGGAACTAGTACCTCTATCTTTACATTTTTGAAAATTGGTCCTTATTATAACTTAACAGCTAAATCCTGACTTTAGAGTATTCCATATATCATTACCACAAATCTACTCCGGATCTTGAGACGTTCAAGTTCAATTTCAGCTGTTTCTTGCTTATTCGAAATGATAAACAGCCAATATTTTAGTGTTTTTTTTTTACTTATGAAAATTTAATACTTATGTATGTACATTGAATATAACATGTATGTATGAATAGACAATATTTAGCATTTAAGCGCATCTTATACACATAAAATAAAATGATCTTCAAGGTCTTAATTAATGTACATTAAAAGTAAAGTACATATACATTTTTTTTAATTTTTGCAAATATAATTAATGAAGCATTTAATCAAATAGTTTTCATAGTGCATAGTTTTTAAGTAACAAGACAACAACCCCATGAATACAAATCCATATCAAAACATTCCAATTTTTTAAGTAAAGTAATTTTTATATTTTAATTTAATTTTAAATAAGTTAATACAATAGAAATAATTTAAATTACTGAATTATTGTAAAATAAAATAAATTATGATTTTTTAAAAATATAAAATATTTTATTCATTCAGCCTTCTGTTTATTTTATTTTGTAGTACTGTCCCTAGCATAAGATGTAGTTTTAGTTTATAAATATTTTTTCCTATGTGTACATTTGTGAATGCCAATTCAATCACATATCAGTGAAATCCGTCCAATATTTGTATATGTTTTCGATCTGTTTATTTGTGTAATTGTCCTATATTCGTGTATCGTTAACATATACCATAGAGTATTTTGTTTGAAAGCAGAATTCATTTTACGTATTAGTTAGCTTTTTATTATTAGTTTTATTATTGCATTATACATAAATATTTTTTTTTATTTTACATTTTTATATATCATTTTACAAATTGCACACGTATTCCCTAAATTAATTTATGTTTTATATGTTTATAGTATTAATGACATCTAAATAAATCCATCATATTTCAAATGTTTCTTTTGTCCACATCATTTCTTTGTCATCATTGTGTGTTTGTGTCTTGTCTTGTCATTATCGTATCTATATTTTTAAAGGAATTGGTCTTTATTATGTTGCAGAGCAGCTAGCTAGAACTGAACCTAAGTCTGTATCGATCCACTTCCCGTCAATGAAGGACAAAAATCAAGAAAAAGTTGAAGTACTGCCAATGTATTGTCCAAAACCTCAAAGAAAAGCAGCCTAAAAAACAAAAATAGAAAACTTTATGAAATAATCGTGGTTTTTGTTTTATAGTCACCGGAAGACTCATCGGTTCGAATGCAATGAAGCAGAAAACCAACAAAACCCAAGTGCTTATTTAGTACACTCGGCACCTGCAACTGTGGTGCAATAAAAAGGTAAGGTAAAGGCACCAGCTCATTACATTTTTTTTTTTTTTGGAAGTGTACCCGACTTCTGCCAATTTTTTGAATGTATTTATTGTTTTGAAAAACAAAACATTTTCATATTCAATGATTGGGAGCAACGTATATTGCAGAGCGCGCATTAAAGATACTACCCAATTTTGCCGTGGAATTGAAAGGTTGAACAGTTTGAATCATATTTTTGAAACAAACTCCAGTCATTTCATCATTTTTTTATTTTTTAACTCATTCTAAAAGTAAGAAAATTGTCTACTGATAAAAAACTGCAACAAAGTCAAACGCCATAATTTTTACATTGTTTTTTTAAATTTTATTAAATGAAAGCAAAAAATGTCGGAAATAGCATTAAATTTTAGAATATGTTTAGATTTGTTCGAATTGGTCACCTTTGGCACGAATTATGGCCTTCAAACGCCAATGAAACCGTCACACGCTGCCCGAATGTTGTTCTGAGGTATTTGCAATAATATTCGGCATTTACTCTGATGCCACTGTCCGAACATTCAATTTTGTTTAACAAAATGTATATCCGCTGGCATTACCAGTAAGATAAACAACAATGTGTAACTCCCATTAATTTTACAATAAATCAATCAATTGGTATGATATATAATACCAAGTAATCAGTTACGGCGGTACAGAGTAAAAACGTAGTCGTAGTACACATTTTCAAATCCACCTTCACAACTCAATTTAAATCAAAATCAAATTTGAAGATTCTAGACTTATCCCTTCGACCAATATCACAATCTAAATATCAAATTTCAGTAAATTATCTCTATCCCTTCACACAATACCAAAAAAGTACGATCCAGTACTTTTCGTACAATTATAGTACACACTTCCGAAACCGCTTCAATATGTCCATGCTAAATATTTACAGCGACCCTAATAAATAAACGAAATCGGTCGAAAATATATATGGGAGCTATATCCAAATCTGAACCGATTTCAATATAATTTGTCAAATTTATTTTTGTTCCAAATTCCTTTACACATTCCAAATTTGAAGACTGTATCTATAACCGATCAATAGATATATTATTTATTTTGTACACACATACATCTAATTTTTTAAGTTGCCTCCGATTTTGATACTATACCCCCAGTCCTAAGTGGGATTTCATAAATTTATGTAGCCTATGTTACTTTAAGGCGATGCTGTAATATGTTTGGAAATTTGCAGGAAAACCTATTTAGCGGTTTTTTAGTGCAAAAATTACAAACAAACAACAATCAAACGTACGAACTTGTACCGTTCCGGCACACACAAATTGTTTAAAATTTTGATTTTGAAGGATAGCCTACTTTTATACATTTATAAAGTAGTTACTAGTTTTCAATTCCCGTACTTTCTGGACAAAGCAGTTTTCTTAGAGTTAATGTAACATCTCCTGGTTTAGTTTTACTATTAAAAGAGTACGGGAACACAACAACATTAGCTACGGTATCCTAACAAAAACACTTTTTTCCCACAAGCGCCGTTCACAGAAAAACAAAATCATTGACAGAAAAACAAAACAGTGTGAACTTATAATTTACAAGAGCTTATGTTTTATTCACTTCTTAGAATATAAATAAAATGTAAAAAAAAACTATTCTTGTGTTAAAAACAAAATTATACTTCTTGCTAAAGTAAACCTTTTGTTGATATAGTTCGACTAACATGTTGTTTTATTTAAAAAACACCACACTTTGTAAAACTTACATTAAATTGTTTTATTATAACATAGGAAAAATAAAAAGAGCTTCAGAGTCAAATAAAAAGTAGAATTTTACATACATCATACTTATAAATATAATGAGGCAGCAAACACAATATCACGCTTCAGTAAACGTATGCCCTCGGAAAATTTGTTCTCCAAGTCTGTATTACCTATCGTTTTAGCTGCCTGACACATTTGACGCAAAAGCTCCTCCAAGCGACGCATGCAGCGAATTATAGATCCCTCAAAAATATCTGTCATTTTACAAACATTTAAAAACGAGGTACCCTTACACCAGGCAAGTACAACATCCATGAGGAAAGGCTTAAATTTATCCACATAAGATTCCTCGTCCAATTCTAATTTACATTCATTGGAAATTTTAGCTATACGTCGAGCCAACTCTTGCATAGAACGTAAGGGTCCCGACAGCTCCTCAGCTGAAGTTGGATTTTCAGATGATTTTTCATCACACACAAAACAGGATAGCAGAGAAACTGCTTGTGCTGTCGTCAAATCATTAAAGACGCCATTGAAAATCATTTCAGTCATTAGCAGTTCATCAGCTGAACTAAGCTCACAGGCCACTCGACCCTTGAATTCAATAACATCTTGTGCTGTACAATATTCCATTCTGCGGAGAATACGTTTACGATGTTTCAGTTCGTCCATCTGCAAAAGGCTGCGAGCTTCTTTAAGCTTGGCTTTGGCAGTTTTTAATTCTTCCATAACTTTTAGTTTTTGAGTATACAGTGCATATATACGATCTAATTCGGGAGAATTATGTAGAGGATGGGCAAACAATCTTTCCTCAAATTTCGCAATGGAGTCGACGATGTTTTTAAACTCAGGATCTTTTATGTTCATTTCTGTTATTGGATTTAGCAGCGGCGGTCCTTTGGGAAAACGGTTTTTGACTTCTTTTATTGTCTTTAGTACAGAACGGCGGTTATCTGCCGGCCTCAAATCATTGGGATAGTAGACTCTTAATGAAGATATTTGTGATATTAGTTTGTGGACAACTGGCACCACTTCCATGTTGCCTTTTTGACCCGGTTTACAGGGTTTTGGATCATCGTTTTTAGAAGACTCCTCTGATACGTGTAGCAGGACATCTACAATTACAGATGTTTCGGCTTGTAAGGGGTTCTTTGTTTTACTTGTTTGTTTTTTAAAATTAACAACTATGCCCCAGTCATACTCTTCGGTATCATTTTTCACTTTTACTAGACGTCCTGGCTGAAGATATGGCACCAGATACTCAGGCTTTGTTATCCATGTGCGAAACTGTTTACCCAAGGAATCCAGTTGATCACGTATATGATGATAGGACGCTACACTATGTTCTTCGTTTATTTTAAACTTTTCCAAATCCTTTTGTTTTTCTTGTACCTCTCGATATAGGTCTGGAATAGAAGATTGGTTTTGGAACTGAAAGAATGACCGCTCCAACATATATTCTGGATTAATTTCATCTACTCTCAGAAGATTTAGAACCATATTATAGGTTAAATGGAAAGCGGAATTTATGGGATCTGCTTTGCCTTGAACAATTCCTCTACCAACAGCTGGAGATACTTTTTCGTCAATCATTAAAATTACGATACCTTTGTCATCCAAACCACGACGACCAGCACGACCTGCCATTTGGATATATTCACCCGAAGAAATCCAACGAAAATCTTTGCCATCGAACTTTCTAGGTGCTGTAAAAAGTACTGTTCTAGCAGGCATGTTAAGACCCATAGCAAAAGTTTCTGTAGCAAATAATGCTTTAAGTAGACCTTCGCCAAAGAGAATTTCTATAATTTCTTTCAAAATAGGCAATAGACCACCATGATGTATGCCAATGCCACGTCGCAGTAGGGGTAGAACATTTTCAACTTGAGGTAATTGACGATCCTCCTCTGAAAGTACGTCTAGGGCATTATTAAAGACTTCATCGACGAGCTTCTTCTCCTCGGCTGTATTAAAATCTAATTTAGCCATTTGCATGGCATAAACTTCGCAATCCTTTTTACTGAATGAGAATATGATTACGGGTGCAAAATTGCGCTCCATTATCATTTTTACAATTTTAAAGATGTTTGATTGGCCAGAGTTAACACCTTTAATTCCGCCTTTGCGTCCTTTTTGGTCACCTTTGGCAGCTTCACCTAGAAACAGAAAGTGAAGAATTAGAAAGAATTAACATTTTATTATTTAAAAGTGAGTACATTGAGTAATAGAAATTAAAGATAAATCCAAGATATTTATACATCTTATGTGATCATAATTTAATGGATGAAATGATAAGAAACATAATAAACAATTCTAACATTGGAGAGATTTTAAGACTAGCCTGAGAGGTCACTGCATAATGAATTATTCTACTATGGATTTTACATAGCAGTAATCTGCTATGAAATGAAAAACAGAAACAAGGTCCCCAATTCACTAGGCGGCGGCACTTGGTATATAGACGAAATGAGTTATTGACATCTAAGAATAATTCGGTCTGCGAAAACTTGTGCTACCAATAGAAGTATTCAGAACATGAAGGCGCGGATATTCCTCCGAAATAAAATAGTATAATTATGTTGACGTACATAATTACTTGCTTTCATTGCTTTCAAGTCAGTCAAACATGTACAGGCGTGCCACGAAAGATTTAGAGAGGAATTTGTGAAGATATAAGGTAAGTTTTGTTCAACCAAATCTATTCAGCTCACTCCAAAAGATCCGTGGCTACCTCCCATGGAAGTTGACAAATTTTTACTGTTGGAGTTTGAGACAGAAACAAATTAACAGAGCTAGAACGGTAACACAAAATACTAAAACGGTACTTACCAGCATTTTGTAGAACTGCCATGGCCGTTTTAAAGTTGTCTTCTTTGAATTGTCCCTTTTCATCAACAATAAGATGTATACCATCTCCACCTGCAGGGAAAATATAGTGCTGCAATGGCGTTGGACGATAATCAGTGTAGACGACGTGACATGGCTGTTTGTGCAAATGGCACACCCACTCGGCAAATTGTCGGGCATTAGGAATGGTAGCGGAAAGGAATACATAACGAACGTTATCAGGAAGCAATATCAATGTTTCTTCCCATACAACACCACGTTCCTTATCACGCATATAATGGATTTCATCGAAAACAACCCAGCCGACTTCACGCATAATTTCGCTACCTCGATACAACATGTTACGCAAAATTTCAGTTGTCATAATTAAACATGAAGCTGAGGGATTTATCGTAACATCTCCCGTAACCAAGCCCACATCTTTAAATTCTTCACTAAATTCTCGGTACTTCTGATTGGACAAAGCTTTAATAGGTGTTGTATAGATTACACGTTGTTTGCAGTTCAGTGACTTTGCGATAGCGTACTCAGCTACAACAGTTTTACCGGCAGATGTATGGGCTGAAACCAACACACTTTGTTGGTTATCAATACAAAGAATAGCCTCCTTCTGAAAGGGATCCAAGACGAATGGATATTCCTTAGCTGGCGTACCAGTGTACGGCTGCAAGGGAATATAGTCCTGGCCGGGATATACTGCAACTTCATGTGTACAAGATTCTGGGGATTTAATCACATGTACGGCAATTCTGGATTGCAAGGCATCTACACAGATGTCATCCAATATAGACTCGGTCATTTTAGCACGTTTGTTACTTTCATCATTATCCGCATCTTCAGATGCGGCGAGATGCCGCTTCTCAGTAGTTTTTGGGTTGCTAAAAAGTCAAACATGTTAAAAAAACCTCAATTAATTACAACAAAATATTTACGATTCATGTTCGCCGTCCTTTCCTTCAACAACAGGAATTGGTGGTTCTATTGCATTGGTTTCATCCTGTTCATTAAAACAATTGAACAAATCGTCCACATCGGCCATTGTGATGTGTTCTGCCTTATTTTAATTCACAAAATAGTCTTATTGTTTATTATATTTATTAAATTATTATTTGTAAAACGCGAACACGAGTTTACCCCACACGCTGGTGAATAGTAGTGTTGTATAGTTCGAGAACGATCTACTTCACTTAAACAATTCACTCAAAGGAGAGTCTGAACTAGTTCGATCGCTCATTTTAAATAGCGTACACACAATTAAACAGTTTATCAGTTAACAGCAACAATTAACATTCGTACTACAAACAAATAAAACATCAGTCAATTCAATATTGCTAAAAACAAAAGAATATTATAGATCATGGCAAGATTATATAAATAAATGTCATGCTAACAATGAAATTAAAAATGCAATTGCATCCTTCAAAATGTACGCACTAGTTGTGTTCTGTGGAAAAAGAAAAAATTCGCTGCTTCTTTATACTGATCTGCGATTTGATGAAATTTTTAAAGTACTTGTGTCAATATACTCCTACGCATGGTAGAATTAAGAAGGTAAGCTCATGCAATCATATGTTTACAATTTTTTTTCAAAATTATGGAATTTACAAAACACATTGTCAAAATGTATATTTATAAATCCATTGTACATATATAAATCTGAGATGGGCTTACTGTGCTGTGAAATTTGACAACGTAAATTACAGATAATGCAAAAATGGAAATGCTTATCCGAAATGACTTTACCTTCTTAATTTTACAATGCTCCCACGTAAGTAACAAAAATTAAATAATTTAATCAACGTGAAAATGTCAGACGGCTTTATTTTTTAGTTTTACAGAAATTATGTCACTCGCCGTACGTAAATAGTTAGGGAGTATATTTTAAAATTATTTAAACACTAAAACTTACTATTACCGATTAGACCAATGTTTCTAAGTTGTTAATTGTGCCAAGGGATAGATGAAGAAACCTCTGTCAATTTTTTTTAATTTCAATTTATTTCACAAAACTAAAACATAGAATGATTCCTAGCCAATTATCCATGCAATGAAGATTACAAAACGAATAGTAAAGGTAAGAATACATAAAAAACATTCCTGACTGGCTAAAGACATCGGCTGGCTTCATCGGAAAAGATTAAAGAAGCGGAGGGCCAAAATCGAATTAAGTAAACCCATATATATATATATATATATATATATATATATATATATATATATATATATATATATATATATATGTATATATATATATATATATATATATATATACATATATATATATATGTATATATATATATATATATATATATATATATATATATAAGTTAACGGCTCACCCTAATAAACATCAAACTAAATATGCAAACCAACTAGTAAACATTCCCATCATTATGCTGCGCAAGCAGTCCGACAAATCAACAGGAATATGACACCAGGGCAGTCATCCGCCACAAACACGCGCACTAATACCAGCGCACCGCAAGTGATGACTCAGCGTAATAACGAGCACGACCAGGCTGCAGTATAATATTAGTTTTAAGTTGAAGTAATTCATAATTGTAAATCCAACAAGAGAGGTGCATAGCACCGCAACATAAATGTTAGTAACAAAATAAAGAAACACCATAGCAGTGTGAAATAAACTTTAACTTCTAACATTAACTGGCGCCCAACAACTACAAGGATCAACACATCCTAGAACCCAACAACCACAAGGATTAAAACATCCCAACAGCCGGTACGAGAACCGTTCCTGAGTAGGAGTACGAAAAGGATGTTACGTAAGAACTAGCGGACTACCGGGATATAAGGAAAATGATCAAATTATTATTAGTAAGTTATTATAAATTTAACAAAAGTAAAAAAGAAGAAATGTTAAAATAAAATTAAACAAAATAAGGAATAACACAGAAAGTGAAAGTGTGAAATCTAATTTACAAAAATCATATTTGTGCTAGAATACGTTTAACAAAAATAACAAAGTAAGAAGAAAGAAATGTTAGAGTAAGGTAAAACAAAAAATAAAGTGTGACATCTAAATTTACAAAAAAAATCATATTTGTGCGAAATTAACAAATGTAAGAAATATGAAATGTTAGATTAAGTTAAACAAAAAAATAGAGTGTGGCATCCAAATTTAAAGAGTCATATCCGTGCTGAAATAAGTTTAAAGAAATTTTGATAATAGATTTGTGACGAGAACTAGGATTTGGTGTTTCTTTTCCTCCTTTTTTTCGAGCGGCCAATGCCGGAAGATTTAAACAACTTAATAACAAGGGTCGAAGCTATGAGTGTTTCAGGACAGACATCTTCGCCTTCTGGGGCAGCTCCCGTAAGGTTTAATCCCTTTACGGAAAGTCAGACTAATGAGGTGAAACGAATAATAAGTGAGACGGTGGCAAACCTTCTCAAACAGGGGGAGGATGTTACCGCCACTAAAGATGTCGACATAGAAGGATCTGGGGATATCTCAGAAGGAGAGAGAATACCAGACATAGTGAAGACGTTAAGGGAATTCTCGGGCAAGCCAGGAGAATTTAGTTCGTGGAGGAAAGCTGTTGATAGGATCATGAACATTTATGAGTCACAAAGGGGAACAACCAAATACTTCACAATTCTACACACTGTTAGGCATAAAATTGTTGGTGAGGCCGACACGGCTTTGGAGTCTTATCGGACCCCATTAAATTGGAAAGCGATAAGAAAGTGTTTAGTGCTTCATTTTTCAGATAAGAGAGATATTTCGACCTTAGAGTATCAAATGACCGTCCTATCTCAGGGTGGGCAAACCATAACAGATTTTTACCAGAAGGTTTACCACCATTTGTCTTTGATTCTGGACAAGATTGATTGTCTGGATATAGGGAACGAGGCTTTGGATGTATTGACCCAAACATATAGGGACAAGGCTTTGGACACCTTTATTCGAGGACTTAATGGTAATCTTCCAAGCTTAATGAGTGTTACAAACCCGACAAGTTTGCCTCAGGCTCTAAATGCCTGTTTAAAATTAGGTAATCTAGGTGTGCGTATTCAACACGCTACCGAGAAAGGATCTAGACCAAACAGGATCCCCCAAACTAACCCTCCTAGACATTTTTACCCACAGCTGACGATTGGTGATAGGAATTTTCAAGGTGACCAAAGGTACAGAGGCCCTACTCAATATCGTTATCGGAATTTCCGAAGTGGAGAACAACAATACGGAGGGCCGGCGAACTTTTCGAATCGACCTCCAGTAGTGAATAATTTTGGACACCCCCAATACGGAGGATACAGACCCCCACTTCCTCCTAAACCTGCTGTACCAATGGACGTGGATCAATCAATACAGACTAGGCAGGTAAACTATCAGAATAGGCCACAGTTGAGTAATGCTTTTAACAATGTTCAGCCTAACTTTAAGAGAAATAATTCAGGAAATATTCATCAGCCGCAAAAGCAGCAGAGAATGTTTAATGTTGAGGCCCAAATACGTGAGGATGCAGAGCCGGATGAAATGAATGGTTCTGATGAACAGGAATATGAGGTTTCCTATGACGAAGCGTACGAGGAGGATCTAGACGATCAGTTGGCAATTGTAGATGACGTTAATTTTTTAGACTAGCTTCAACGTTGCCATACCTCCCTTTCAGAATGAAAAATGGCAACGAACTTAAATTTCTTATAGACACCGGTTCGAACAAAAATTATATTAATGGCAAATTTATTAGAAACCCTCTAAAGAACCAGAAACCTTTTCATGTTAAGTCCGTAGGCGGCATAGTTAGTATAGAGACCCATAGTTTTATTGACATTTTTAATTGCGGGATCGGAAAGTTAGAATTTTACATCCTTCCTGGTCTAGAGACCTTTGATGGGATAATAGGGAATGATACCCTGAAATCTTTGAATGCAGTGATTTACACTTGGAGATCCTATCTCACAATTCTGGATGGAAAGAAATTTCCTTTGAAAGAGCTGCAAATTGATGAGATTAATAACATGAATCTACGTTTAAATCAACTAAATCCCGAAGATGAAAAAGAAGTCAGGAATATTTTGGATGACCATCCAAACCTTTTTGCAGATCCCAATAAAAAACTCACTTATTCAACAATCGTACAAGCTGAAATTAATACGAGTAGTGATAGTCCAGTTTATTCAAAATCCTATCCGTATCCAATGGCACTGAAATCCGAAATTGACAAACAGATAGAAGAACTATTAAGGGACGGGATAATTCGCCCTTCCAGGTCCGCATATAATGCTCCAGTTTGGATAGTACCAAAAAAACCAGATGCTTCAGGTGTGAAAAAATACCGCATGGTTATTGACTATAGGAAACTTAATGAGATAACTAGACCTGACAGATACCCCATACCTGAAATTACAGAAATCTTGGCTAACTTAGGCGAACAGAAATACTTTTCCACCATAGATTTAAAGAGCGGATTCCATCAGATTCCACTTAGGGAATCCGATATTGAGAAAACAGCTTTTTCCGTCAAGAATGGAAAGTTCGAGTTCACAAGACTACCATTTGGACTACGTAACGCGTCTGCAATATTCCAAAGAGCTCTAGATGATATTCTTAGAGAGCATATAGGGAAACGGTGCTACGTCTACATTGATGACATTTTGATATTTGGTAGGACTAAAAAGGAACACATTGAAAATTTGAGGATAATATTCCGCACTTTGGAAGACTCTAATCTGAAAGTTCATTTGGACAAGAGTGAATTCTTAAAGGAAGAAATTGACTTCTTAGGGTTCAATGTAAAGGAAGGAGGTTTTTCTGCAAACCCAGACAGACTTAAGGCCATAGTTAATTTCCCTCAACCTAGAACAGTTCATGACTTGCGATCGTTCCTGGGTTTGACCGGACATTATCGGAGATTCATAAGGGGCTATGCTCAAATAGCCAAACCATTAACTTCCATGATGAGAGGCGATATAGGGAAAACCCCGAGAAACCAGTCAAAAAAAATCAGTGTCAATTTGAATTCCGAACAGATTGAAAGTTTCAAACAGCTCAAGAACTGTTTGGTATCGGAGGAAGTCGTTTTGAACTATCCCGACTTTGATAAGCCCTTTGAACTCACTACTGACGCCTCGAAATACGCTTTAGGAGCAGTTTTATCTCAAGGCAATAGACCTATCACATACCTTTCTAGAACTC